TCCACCCGACAACAAGGTAATACTCGAGTATACCAAACGTTCACCCTGGGTCACTAAATCGCCCGATCGAGTCCGTTTCTGTCTCGAGTCGATCAGTAACGAAGGGCAGGGCCCAGTTCAGCCAAATGGGTTACATTCATGCGCAACTAGCATTTAATCATTTAATTATTAAAGATTTCACATTTATTTCGGTCGAGTGTGATAAAGTACACACTCGCCTAGTAAAATTCGTTTTAACAGTCATTGATAACATGAAACATGTAATCATACATCCACCACAAGCCATATAGTCAATGAAAATATAACAAATAAGGAACACTCACCTATTTAAGCAAAATAACGTCGAAAGTTTCCTTTCGGATAATACTCACAATCACCAAGGAACCCTAATAATCAAACGAACACATTATACTTCAACCCACTACAAGAAAATTGGTCATCAGTGACAACTTTTCTCTGTGACGAAACAAAGTTGTCACAAAAGGGGATCCTTTATTGACGACTTTCTAACTCGTCACAAACCTCTAATGGGAGCCAACTCATTTGTGACGACTTTTCTAAGTCGTCACTAATAAATTCCCGCCAAGATTTAGCAAGAGCGCGGGAGTGTTTAGAACACACAATAGTGACGACATTAAGAACATCATCACTATTGCTTGGCCTATTTACGGACGACTTTTTGTTGTCGTCACTGATCACCAAAAAAAAAAGTTATTAGTGACAACATTTTTTAGTGATGACAATAAGTCGTCACAAAAGGAGCTTCTTTAGTCGCGACATTTAAAGTTGTCACAATTACATCAAAGCAACTAAATATTTAGTGACGACCCGTTATTTTCGTCACAAACTACACTGCAAGAAATATGGTCATTAGTGACAACATTTTTTAGTGACGACAAAAGTCATCACAAAACGTGGTTTTTTAGTGACGACAAGTATAGTTGTCATAATTGCTCAAATCAACTAAGTCTTCAGTGACGACCTTGAAAAACATTGTCACTAAAATGATCTATATAGTGACAACTTGTAATATCGTCACTGTCACTCTACCGATTCGGATTTAGTGACAAGAATTAATCGTCACTGTTTAAAGTACTTATTTCTAAGTCACTTTCAATAATTCTACTGTGCCACCCTAACTTTTGCGATGTAGTCCCAAATGTTGTAAAAAATTCCATTCATTCCATTATGATACCTTAACTTTTACAATTTAGCCCCATATGTAGTACACCGATTTCTTTAATTCTATTATTACTTCCTAACTTTTGTAATTTAGCCCCATATGTAATTCACCAATTTCATTAATTCTACTATGGCACTCTAACTTTTGCAATTTAACCCCCATATGTAATACACCAATTTTATTATTTCTATTATGGCACCCTAGCTTTTACAATTTAGCCCCTATTTTTTATTAGGAAATTGCGAATGGTATCTTGATAAACTATGCATAAATATTTTATAATTTTCTCAAACTTAAGTAATAATTTGTTATAAACTCTAAAGATATATCTTTCATTACAATAGTTATAAGGCAGGCAGGTCCTTTTATCAATGGAATAAGAAATTTATGCCAGATTTATCCTTTGTACTACATGCCAAGTAGTATTAGCAAAGGAATAACAAAGTACTACAAAGTAATTAACAAAATAGCCTTCAGGGAGTGTAGTTTATGGGCAAATGAGTATTATCTATTCAAAGTACCAACTTTTTATGGGCATTTTATTCTCAAACATATAATTTATGATAAATTTATAAATGTTTGCAAGTAAAATTCAAAAAGTGTTACACTGATTTCTTACAAAACGAAAACTGGCAGGTTATCTTTTCAACATAAATTAAATTTTTTTAAAAAAAGAAATGGCCCATAAAGTACCAACTCTTTGTGGGTTTCCTCCATTACATGAACAAATATTCTGCTCTTTATGGGCATTTCACTCTGAATCATTTAATTTATGTTAAATACATAAATGTTTGTAAGTAAAATTCAAAAAGTGTTGCACTAATATTTTTATGAAAGGGAAACTGGTAGGTTTTGTATTTAACATAAATTAAATATGTGAAAGCAAAAAAAAAAAAAGAAATTACCCATAAATCTATGTCTTGCAAATCTATACTAGTAAAATAGTTTCAAACAAAATTAAACATTAAAATAAACTGTAATTTATACACATTAAAATATCTGTAATTTATACACATTTTGCAACTACTACTTTGTGTTTTCTCTGTAATGAATTTTTTAACTATTGAGAACTTAAGTTTTGTCATGCAAATCTATACTAGTACAATAGTTTTAAACAAAATTAAACATTAAAATAAATGTTTGAAAAAGAACAAAAGTACATTTATCACTTGCAGTAATGTAACAAAAATTTCTCAACCATTATCAATATTTTCACAAAAGGATTAAAAACTAGCAATTGACAATATTAAAAACTAGCAATTTAATTAGTGACGACTTTTCTTGTCATTATAATCTTGAATAAATTAGTGATAACATTATGTCATCACTAAATTTTCTTTGATTTTGACTTAACAATAATGTCTTATTAATAGCATTTGATTATTTTTAATGAAAGTCTGTTATAACCATAGAATTTGACTTTCGTTATTTTCAATTAATGATGTACTTTAGTGTTGGAATTATAAAAAATTGCAGGGCTAAAACATTTGCAAATTATAAAAGTATATTTTCACTTATATGTAATTAACAAATTTTGCCACCTATATTGAAGAAAATTTGTGTTTTTGTACTAAAAAATAAAGAATAATACTATAGCAAGAAAATCTATGCTTCAAACCAAATTAAAAATAAAAAAAGCATGATGATCGGTCTCAAATGTTGGGAAAATGATTATTTTTATTGAAACTATGTTATAACCATATAATTTGAGTTTAATTATTTTCAATTACAAGATGTTCTTTAGTGCTGCAATTATAAGAAATTAGTATAAAATATTAGCAAATTATAAAAGTACATTTTCAATTATATGAAATTAACAATTTTTGCCACCTATGTTGATGAAAATTTTTATTTTTTGCTAAAAAATAAAGAATAATACTATAGCATTAAAATCTATGGTTCAAACCATATTACAAATCTAGAAAAAAACATGATTTTTGGTATCAAATGGAGGGAAAATGAGTGAAGTCAAAATTTTGATCAAATCATAGTGAAAGTGCCGCGCAACAAAAACAATATCCAAAGCAAGACCAAAGCAATATCCAAAGCAACGGAACACTTGAGACAAACCTTCACCGAGCTGAAGTAAACAAAAGCTTCTGCACTAAGCACCAAAACAGAGCTTCCGTACTGAGCACAAAACAGAGCTTCCGCACGGCCTGATACTTTCACCCACACTTCTCTGGCTTCTCACTAGCATCACCATGGCTGTCCAGCATTAAAGTACAAGGTTTTCAGGTGGAAAGGTTCGTTTTCTCTCTCCTATACATTTTCTCCAATTTTTCCAAATCCCTAATATGTAAGATCCTTTTTGTTATCGCTACTGAGTCGCCTGGATTAAGCTGTGTAGCTACTTGTTTTAGCTTCAATATTTCGGGTTATCTGACCACAGGTTAGGGTAGTTTAGGATGGTCCGAGGAGCCAGTGCTCCTTATTTTCTAGAATGCATTAAAGAGGGAGGAGACAGAATTGTTGAAAATTGGAATGGAAGCCTATGTTGGGCATTCCGAGAGAAGGGATCGAGTTTTGTTTAAATAACTGGCCAATTAGGTGAGTAGTTCAAGGTTATTTCATTGACAGCGCAATTAATTTTTGTAGGCTTACCCAGTAAGCGAAGTTTTGAGCTTCCATGGTTTTGGTTTGCTGTCGTTGGAAATACTGATATATTAAATTTTTGTGGCCCTATTGCTAATTACGTAATACATGTCTTGGTTGAGAGTTAGGTGTAACGGTGACCAAAATCTTTTTCGTTTTCTTGGGTATATACCCCCTTATCCGATAAGGTTGCCATGAAAGGGGACAGAAATTGAGGGAATGGACGAAGGAATCATTTATGTCCACTGCCCAGTTCTTGTGAATTAGCAGCAACCAAGACTCTAGTCTCAGTGGGTCTATTTTGTCTAATATTTTCAGTTGCATTGCAATAAATTCTGGTATTGTTTTTTTAAAAAGAAAATTCTGGTTTTTGTATATAGGGATCGAAGGGTTAAATTAACACCCTATATCTGAAATCTGCACTTTTGATGGCTTAATAAGTAGCATAGTTATATTGATTATGTACAGCATTAATCCTCCGAAGTGGAGCATAAGCTATGGATTTAGTTGACAAATTGATAAAGTCAAATCGGTCATATTTTATTCAAGTATAATTCTCAGAAGTATGCATGTTAAACAGTGTATATATTTATTCTTTTCCCAAAAATACCAGTTAGGATGATCAAGAAAAAAATGAACCAGCAATCTAATTTTTGTTCTTTTCTAAAAATCACTGAAGAAATAGATAAGCTAACAATCTAATTTTTCTACAATAAGTTTAACGTTTTGCTTTTGAATAAATGGTCCTCGTTTGATTACTCTAACATTTAAGTGGCACTAGACTATTAAACCACTCTATGGAGATATTAGATATACATATTCTACAACATTTTTAATCCAGGCTGTCCTACATATTATCACATCACTAAATGACTTTCTGATCTTAGCCGGTGACCACAATTTCATTTAGCTATGGTTTGTTTCTCAATTTACTTGACCGAGCTCAGGTAGGACATTAGGAACTGTGATGAGTCAATTTCAGGCTAATTGTAAAGCGCATAGCCATCAGTGGAAGCTTTAAGGACTTTCACTAACCTGGAATTGGATGTTCTCATATTTAGTTCAAAGTCACGTATTCCTTAAAAGATATGAGCAATTTGAATAGGTTACTGTGGGTTATAATATCTGAATACAATTCTTAAGATGTTGACAGTGTTATCTGTTTGCATTAATTCTTGGTTGTCTATCATAACAGGTTGAAATTGCTAAGGCCTATGAAAAGGTGGAGCAGCATGCCTCAGTGTATTAACAGACCAGAAATACTTTCAAGTAAGGATTTAAACTCTTCAGTCATTTGGTGACTTTTTTCTTCAGGGTCATATAAGCCTGTCTCTGCAAGTCAATGTATTTGTTTTTAAGTTAATTCTTACTGCTAATTATCATCACTACTTTTTTGTTTCTGTGCTCCATAAAATAAGGGAGGCTTTGAGAATTTGGAGAAGATAAGGAATTCAGGAGTGAAGGTATTTTTTTTCTTCTTGATGCATATTTCTGCTGAATATTAGCTCGAAGTATTATTTTTGAAAGTGATTGCTGAAACAATTTACATGTGCAGTGCCCTTTGTTATGCAAAAAGTTTGTTATAGATGCTTGGCAAATATACTATGCTCGCACAAAAGGCGCAGATGCAATCCTGTTAATTGTTGCTGTTTTACCAGATCTTGATATCAAATACATGACTAAGATCTGCAAATTGCTTGGTTTAACACCACTTGTGGAGGTATGGTTATTGTTTTCTTCTTTCTTTCCTTTTGCTGTCTTAACAATTAATAGAACTCAATTCCCTCCTCACTTTTAGTGTTAGATTTAGGACGTTTAAGTCAGGGTAATTTTCATTTTCTTGTTTGTGATTTGTACAAAAATCGGAATATCAACAAAAATCTGTAATGATATCTCAAGTTTGTTTTTCGTCTTCTTCATGAAGAAAAAATTTCTTTTTTAAACATATGTAGGTTAGTGGTCCTTCTGTTCTCATGAAGGCTGTCTAATAATTATCTTGGTACTTTACTTGAAGCAATTTTGGTTTTATTTTTTCCTGATTTTGGTTTTATTTTGTTTTTCTTGTCAAGTAAAAAGTTTGAAGTATCAATGATTTTGACCTTTGTTTGTCATATCTCATTTTTTAGGTACATGATAAGAGGGAGATGGATCGTGTTCTTGGGATTGATGGGATTGAACTTATTGGAATAAACAACCGTAACCTCGGTATGTTTCTAAAGAAAATTCTATATCGATCATTTAAATCTTCTCCTTCTTGATTGTGCATTTAAAGTTTGATACCTTGATATTTTGATTCTGAAGCTGCTATCGAGTTTACATTCGATTGTAGCTGTATTTGGACAAAAATTAGTTCCTTGTATTCTTACTAACATCGATGAGAAGGCCTACATATTTTCAAGTAGCTAATCATTTGCTGAAGTGTATATCATTTGCACTGTGATGCTATAAATAATAATACCAGCAAATTAATTCTGTTATGACAATCCCCTACTTCCCTTTTTTTTTTTTTTAAACTTTCTAGGAATTAACTTCTTTGACATACTTCCGCACGGCACCAATTGCTAGATGCCAAAATCTGGTGCTGGATACTCTTCCTAGTTATATCTCATCTTGCTTAGTGCTGATATTCAATATGGTTGCATGATATAACCTTTTCTCTTAGAATGGTAGTTCGTAAACAGTCAGTCAGGAAAAAATGAGTTAAGTAACCATGGGTAAAGGTGCTCATCTTGAGGATGGGTGAGTGGAAACAAGCTATAAATCCGAAAAGAACAAGGATGAAGATGATAAAAAATGCACAACCTAGAAAAAATGTTAAAAGAGCAATGAGTAGCTTACAAAATCAGTACAAGTCATTTGTTGGAGTCTTGGAAGTTAATTTAGCTTTGTCTATCTGCAGAAACATTTAAGGTTGACATCAGCAATACTAAAAATCTTCTTCAAGGAGAACGTGGGAGAATAATCCGAGAAAGAGGCATAATTGTGAGTATCCTATTTCTGCACTTTTCTCATGCCCTTTAAGATTTCTCCTTCTTTGTTAAATTGTTGACAGAGGCACATGACTGCCTCACATATTATTTTGTCTAATCACCAATGTATTCATTTTCCTGTCTTCAAAATCTTTAGGTCGTTGGTGAGTCTGGACTTTTTACACCTGCTGATATTGCATACGTGCAAGAAGCTGGCGTCAAAGCGGTATGTTATGAATGTTTTGTAGGAAAGTTGTGTACTTTTTCTACTTCCACAATCATTTCCCATTCCCTTGAATGTATGAGAAGGGGCAGGAAAAGCTGCAAGCAGGCATCGATTCTAGTTGTAAACAATAATTACTGTGGGAGTCCACTTTAATTGTTCAATAAGTTGAGCTATTTAAAGAAGAAGAAAGAAAATAAAAAAAAAACTGTTTTAGAGAGCTCTTTAGTTGAGCTTATGCAGTGTTGTATTTGTATAGATTGGACTGTGATTTCTAACTTCTTGCTGGTGTTGTAATATGTGGGCCCAAATTATATGAGGTTCTTAATGAATTGTAATTTTTGTCTTAATAATCTAAGTCCCATTACTTGTTCTTTATTATTGTACTCCTCCCCTTACCTACTTCTTTTACTCTTTTATGACAGATAAATGCTATTCATACTAGCTTTTGGAAGATATCTATGGTTATGGTTGAAGAATGTTGAAGACAAAATTGCCTTTTGCTCATGGAGTGGTTCATTTAGATGTTTTTCAATTTCTTAAACTGTGATTGCTTTTGTAAATGTACCTTATGTACAAGTGATATTTTGGACAAATGTTATTTTTGTAGGCATTAGTTGGGTAATGTACACTTGAATTTGGCATTTGAGACTGCTATATTATTAACATGTAATCTAATGCAAATACTTTTGGTTATCAATCGTTCATGTTTATTTGTATGGTTTGTTTAAAATCAATGATTTAGCAATGATTACAGGCTAAATTATGACTATTAAGCTATTGAGAAATTATCTAATGACAAAAAAAAGTTGTCACAAAATAGAAAATAAAAACTCCTTGTCACAACAGAGATTGTCATTAAATCTAAGCGACATTTGTGACAACAATTGTTGTCAGTAAAATAGTTATATACAATGGCTTTCGGTGCTTTTTAGTGATGACTTTAAATAGAGCATTTTTGACAAAAGATCAAGTCGTCAATAAAACACTTCCGGATTGTCGTCACTAATGACCACTATTTAGTGACGACAATCAGGTCGTCACTAAATAGTTGTCATTAGTGACGACAATCTGAAAGTGTTTTATTGACGACTTGATCTTTTGTCAAAAATACTCTACTTAAAGTCGTCACTAATGACAACTATTTAGTGACGACATTTTAGGTCGTCACTGTTTACTTTTACCGACGGGGATTTAGTGACGACTTTGTGACAATCAAAAAGTCGTCAATATAAGGTATTTGTGACGATATTTGTATGTTCTGTGATAACTTTGTGTTGTCACTGATGAACAATTTTCTTGTAGTGACCATCAAAGATGTAAGTGAGTCAAAGACAAGTCGAATACGTACTAGTACAAAGTATAAATATGGTTTTGGTAGCGAAAGGAGTACATTGAAACCAAGGGACATAAGTAAAATATTTGTACAACTTAGACTCATTTGTAAAACTTTAAAATCTCTATTTGAGTCGAAGTGGCAAAGAAAACGTAAATGCCCTAGATGGTTCACGTGGTATTCGCTGTCAAGTCTTACTCAAGTCGCAAGTACATTGACCTAGTTCTCAAGCGTAAATTTGGGCAGCACGCCCTTTGTATTTACCTATGTTCCAGTCATTTATGGCTTCATTCTTTTCCTCAATCAAACCCAAAGTCATATACAAAATCATCTCATTTTAATAGCCATTCCATAGGCTCCAAGGCATACAAGTGCAAAATCAAGTTAGGAGCATGTGCGGAAATGAAGGTTGAGTCAAGAAACAAAAGACAGATTTGACGTGTTTTTGCGTAACAGACACAACCGAAGCTACACTTATCAGATTGAGATGCAATTTATATCGTTTTGAAGCTAAGACACAGGGCTACAATTTTGACGAAGAACACTTAGTCCAAATTTTAGTGTAACCCAGTTAAATTCCCAATTCACAGAACTAAATTCCAACTAACCGGCTAGTTATCTGTACTACATTCAAATCGCCATATCTCAAGCTACCAAAGTCCGTTTAAGATGGTCTTGAAGGCATTGAAAAGCTAAGACAAAGTACTAAAACTTTCATGTTTTGACTAAAAGCACATTCAGCACGTATCCTGGTGAACAAACGCAACCAACTTAGTATATGGTCAAAACTGTCCTCTGATTTTACTCCTAGGGTAGTCAGGGTATTTTCATCTTTTTACGGGCTGCGTTGCTCCGACTGAGCTTAGATTTTGTAGGAAACCATAAAATGTCATTCTCTATAACTTTTGTGTTTTGTGCTAAACCTAATTCGGCCTTTTACAAGTTGAAATAGAATCGGGCAGAACTGAAGCTAAATTTTCCAGAAATCTGGAATTTGCTATATTCATGCTATAATTCACATTTTTACCTTGAAACTACCTCTAGTTTCACCTTTACAAGATCATATGCCATATATATACATCATACAACACCTGACCCACAAGAAACCCTAACTCAAAAGTCATCCATCTAACCATCAAAATCACTTGAAACAAGCATCACAAGCACAATACCAATATTAATACCCAACTTAATCATGATTAATGGAGAAAGAATGGTTGATCAGCCATTATACCTCAAGACACAAGCTTGCTAGGATGATGCTTCACCTCTCCTTGAAATTCTTGGTTTCTTAAGCTTCCCAAGCTTCCAACTAGTGATTAATCGGTTTAGTTTTTCTTGGTTGCACTCAAATGGTTCAAACTCATGATGGATTGAAGTTGTTTCTCTTGCTCTCTCTCTCTCTCTCTTAAGCTCGGCCAGAGCAGAGGAAAATGGTGAAGAAATATAGCCAATGTGAAGATAAGAAGCAAAGAAAATTAGCTTGGTCAAGGAACCATAGGTTTGCAACACTTGTCACCACCAAAACCATCCAAATTTTGCTTTCTTTTCCTTGCATTTTGGCCACATATTTCAGTCATATGGCTGAGGATGAGAGGGGATATTTCACAAAATATCAAGGGTATGTGGTGGTAAGGAAGTGGTGGTCAAGTGGTGGGTTCAATCGATAGTGAACGATACCCGTCAGTTTCAACCGATTTTTCTTAAATCGCTGGTCCAAATTCAAGGAAAAACTCTGTTAAAATATTTTTAAAACTTTAGTACCAATGATATTGTGTGGTTGTGCTGTGCTTTTTAACATGAGCTAATTTGTAAGGTACTTTGAGATTTTTATTATGCGGGCCAAGATTTTGATTTTGGGGAACTTAATAGCTTACAAAATAGAGTTTATTATGCCAAGATTGCTTTGAGTTCATGAAGTGTACTGTTCTTAGTTTGTTTATGTAGGTTGTGTGATTGGTATGATTAATTAATGTGATGCTTTTCCTATGATTTCCCCCTTAGTTTTAGTTTTTGCAAGGATCAACTAATGTGTTTTTCCTTTCACATTAGGAAAGGAAAGTTACATGATTCTTGATCATACAAAAACCATTTCAATGATTCGAAGTACTTATTGATTAGGGGTTTTCATCTAAAAATGTTGACTTTTATGTTAAACGATACTGGAATTAAGAGCATAGAAAGCAACAAGGTTTGTGACTTGATCGAGTAATCAGGGGCATTCATCTACCAATTTTTGCTTTCGCATCAAAAGACAAGTTCACTATTCAAGTGAAGCTTGATGAAAAAGAGGAAGAGAAAGGAAAGAATAAAGAAAAAGAAAATGTGTAATCAAAGTGTGAAAGCTTTATTAGTTCTTGTCCTTGTTTGTATAAGTTCTAGGGGGTCGTTATAAGTTTAGTGTTTGCATTTGTTAATTATGATAGTCACATGGCAAGCATAATTAGATTAGGAATGATACATAGTATTGGATTTGATCAAATGATGCTATGATCAGCTCAACTTTGTCGATGGGACGTTAGATACCTGGGACTTGAAATTGAATATATCTGAACAATAGATAGTACAACAGAGTTTTTCGCTAGGGTTTCTCACCTTGCCATGGCTGCAACGACAGCCCTTCAGCCGTTGGGTGAGGCTACTGGCTCCCCGACCGGCAAAAAATCATTCTCTTAGCTTTTCAAGCAGCCAACGAATCCTCATATCCAGGTTTGGCCAGCGTCTACATACAAAGGGGAGGCAGCTATTGTTTTTTCAAAGGAGGACGCGGACAGATTAGCGACTCCCTTTCGTCTGGACCTCGTCGGAAAGTTCTCTCATGGACGGCCGCCGTTGGAGGAGATTAGGAAATTCTTCGCCACTCTGAATTTACGTGACCAACTCTCTGTTGGATTGCTGGACTACAGGCATGTTTTACTGAGATGTTCAGCAGAGGCTGATTTCAATCGTCTCTGGACAAGGGGCTTGTGGCAGATCGACAAGAACCCAATGCGTGTGTTTCAATGGACTAGAGATTTTCATGTTCACAAGGAGTCTTCCTTGATACCGGTGTGGGTGTGGGTCTCTTTGCCAGCTTTACCGATCCACTTTCATGAAAAAAACTCCTTGTTCTCAATCCTAGCTCCCATAGGGAAGCCTCTCTTTTTGGATGCGGCAACAGCGACGGGAACGAGGCCAAGCGTGGCAAGGCATGTGTAGAAATAGATCTGTTGAAGCCACTCTGTTCAAGGGTATGGGTTGCAGTAGAGGGGGAAGGGGGCTTTTGGCAGAAGGTGGTGATGGAGGACGTCCCAAGATATTGTTCGAATTGTTGGAGGTTGGGTCACTCAGAGGAGGAGTGTTGGAAGAACGTCTCTGCCAATGGTGCAACTAAGGCGCAAGCCCAGGGGCACCTGCGACCACCAGCCCATACTACGGCACATGTTTAGCTTGACCCAAAGCTGGACTGTTTGCAGGAGGAGCGAACGATGGAGTGCGCAGGCGTGGGCACGTCACCAGTGCCACAGCCGGGTTCGAGTGAACAGCATGGTGCCAAGCTGTGTGCCGCACCCGCCCAGGTTGTCGCCATGAGCGACCAGCAGCGGCAGCCTAAGGTAGCAGATGCACCTGTAGTGGAGGTGGCCAGGCATTCTATTGCGTCGGGAGAGGCTGGCAGCCTACTGTACTGCTTGCGCGCGAGGAGAAACTGACGGAGCTCTGGGTGGAGCTTCCAAACAGGAGTGAGGAGGCATGGGCTGGGGAGGACTCTCATGGCCAGTTGGATGAAAACTTGGTAGGCACCACACACCCACTAGCAGATTGCGTGTTGCTGGAGGAAGAGAGGGATGCTGCTGGCTTTGCAAGGGATGCGATTGAGTCAGTTTCTACAGCTGGAAACTTATCCCCAAGGGCAAAGAGCCTTCAAACAGGTCAGATCGCGTCTTCTTTGGAAGCTTTAAATCTTGATCAGTGCAGGGATATTGGGTTTGAACTCAAGCAAAGGAAAGTGAAAGGAATACGAGCGAATTTCCCATCGGATAGACAACTTCGATCATCTTCAACATGTTCTCAAAACTCTTCCCGATTGTTATCCCATGATTAACAGTCTTTTTTGGAATATTAGGGGGATTACGCGTCCCCCCAATTTCACGAGGTTAAAGAAACTATTAATAATGCATGATATCAAATTTGTCGCGATATGTGAACCCAAGGTAGGGATTTCCCAAATTGAGTCCGTTAGGCTATGTTTGTCATTTGACACCGTCCAAGCTAATACATCGGGCGATATATGGGTTTTCCATAGTTCGCCTTTTCTGTGTGCTGTGATTGGATGGTCGTCACAACATCTCTCCCTTCAAGTTCAACATTCTTGGTTGGCCGGGCCA